ATTCCCAGAAAAAAAAAAAAATCAAAGCAAAATACTTATTATAAAAATTACGGTAGACGAGTGAAGCTACAGCCAAAAATATACGTATATCTAAGCAAAATTCTCAATAAGTTAAATCAGAGAATCGCCAAACGAAAGACACAGAGGCTGAAAAATCTTACTTTTTAGCACAGAATAGACAACCGGACAACATAGATTTCACAAAAAACTCAAAAAAAAAAAGAAATGGAACCACCACCATCTGAACCTTCGCTAAACAAAATTAAAATAATGAACATCAAATAACCCTGAATGCCAAAATCATGATAGGAAAGGGGCGTCTAGAATAAACAGTAGAGCGATAAGTAAAACCGACCTCGACTTCTTCAAAGGACCAACGATTAAAAAGTTTAACATCTGCAGGGGGAGCCAACCCCGAGGACGTTGCCGGCAATGGGGCCGGAGGAGCAGCAGCCGCCATGGATGCGAATCGAAGCTCGCGGAGGAGAGAGGCGCAGCTGCGTCACCAGAAAAACCCTAGGCGGTGCTTGGCTGCAGTTCAGATTTAATTTAAATAGGATGGCACTGGAGAAACCCTAATTTATCTAATTCCATAAATTCGGATTAATGAAAAGCGAGGAGCTCGCACGGAAACAAAGTACTTGTTATTTTTACATTAAATATAAAATGCGAGTTGAATTCCTCGTTTTCAGATAAGTGATTTATTTAAATAATTATAAGCTGTCCCAACTCAAGCGAATGGAAAAAATTTGAGTGCGAAAGACGTACGCAGCACTGCGTATGATATTGAGGTTATATCGAGCGTATAAGGGGGTTATATCCGCGGTATAACCCCTTGTAACCTCCCTGTAACTTTTTGTAGCTTACCTGTAACCTACTAATAAATTCTTAATATATGATAACAGAAGTGCGAAACTCATTTTAGCTTACAGGTAGGTTACAGAATGTTACAGGGAGGTTATAAGTGGTTATACCACGGATGTAACCTCCTTGTACCCTCGATATAACTCCAATATCGTACGCAGCGCTGCGTACGTCTATCGCGCGCAAATTTTTTCGGTCCCAAACGCGAAAAAAATTGCATACGTAAGACATACGCAACGTTGCGTACGGTTTGAAGGTTATACAAGGCGTATAAGGGAGTTATCTTCGAGTTATACCCTCTTATAACATCTATGTAATCTTTTGTAACATACAAATAAGTTCTTAATATATGAAAACAGAAGCGAGAAACTTATTGGTAGGTTACAGAATGTTACATGAGGTTACAAGGGGTATAATGTGGATATAACATACTTATACTCTCTATTATACTCTCTATATAACCTCCAATATATAACCTCCAAAACGTATGCAGTGCTGCGTACGTCTTATGTACGCAAATTTTTTTCCCTAAATGTAGCCTAAATCCATTTAGTCATCAAATTTATTAAATTCTGATTTATGTCAAAGAGATGATGAAATGAAAAAAAGAAACATAATGAAATCTAAATACTATTATAAATATGCAACCAAACGCCTCCTAATAAGCTGACCAAAAAAGACAATCATTATATAGTATTTTAGTTTGAGAATGGACCATCATGATGTAATGAGAGTGTCAAAACATTTTCACACTAACAGTTGTGATGACTCTAACGCTTAAAATGTATTAATTTTCAAATCTAATGCTTATCTCATTTTTTAAGGATCATTAAATTATTGAGAGAATGATAAAAAACCAAAAATAATGATTAAAGTTTTATTTAAAATTTTAATATTTACATAAGAATTTAACTAATAGATTTAAGAGATTATGAATTTTATAAATATTAATGTATCTATTATTATTTACAAAATTGTCCAATTACTTATATTTCTTTTATATGGTATTAGTTGTTGTTTAAATATTAATTTCAATTTTTTTTTTATCATATGAAAAAAAAATTTAAAAGTTCAAAGAAGTTATTAAAGTTAAACTTTAAGCAATAAATTAATTTGAAGAATAATTGTAAATAGATCAAGCACACACGAACTATCTAAAGTCATGAATGTAAGACAATTATTCTTAGTTTTAAATAATATTTGATAATATTACAATAACAAAATTATAAATCTTGATGTGTGCTAGAAAATTCGCGACGGTGGAGTAACAAATTATCATCTTAGTATTGTATGAAGATTCAACACACATTCAAATAAAAGAAAATAACCAGTAGAGATATCAAGAGTTTTTATGTAAAAATCTCAGAAACGGAAAAAAACCACGTGGTATCCAGGAGGTCAGCATCCCAACCGGACAAGGAAAGGTTCCCTTGTGGGGAAGGGGCCTGATGTGTGTATTTTCATGTGACGCGTTTCTTGTCGGCTGTTGAATTGGTGGTAGGTAAGATCCATCGTGTAGCAGCTATCGAGCCCCACTTATGAGTTGTGGAATCTCCAATTGAGACCACTCCATCCTGCATATTGTGTCTTCTAGAGAAGGACTTGAGCTGCCTTCACTAGTGGTGTAACACCTTATAGGGTGGGAAGATGCGGAGGACTGACACCCTTGGCTCAACAACTACCCTCTAGAATGACTGGCGTTGGAATGGAATGCTCTGTTGCTACGAGTGTTGCTTCTGGTGGCTAGACAACAAGTCTTGAGCTACCTTCACCAGTGTTGTAACACCTTATAGGGTGGGAAGATGCGGAGGACTGACACCCTTGGCTCAACGACTACCCTCTAGAATGATTTGCATTGGAGTGGAATGCTCTGTTGCTACGAGTGTTGCGTCTGGTGACTAGAAAGCAAGTCTCGCAAGTACTTTAGTGGTGCGAATGTTTGTTTCCCACAGACAATATTAAACTGATGCGTGCTAGAAAATTCACAGCAGTAAAGTAACACATTATTGTCTTAGTATTGCACGAAGATTCATAGCACATAAAGATAAAGGAAAACAACCAGTCGAGATACCATAAATTTTTATGTGAAAAACCTAGAAAGAGAAAAAACAACGGGGTCAGGTCCAATTGAGGAAATCCACTATAAATTTGTGATTACAGTTACAACCCTTTATCCCATAGGCGGGAAATGGTTACACATTCTCTTAAGTTACAATATCGATGCGCAGATGAACTTACCATAAAAAATGGGCGATAATCGATGGTGATCGGTGGCAGCCGGCTAGTGATGGTCTACGACAATCGATGACTAGTGATCGATAGATTGTTAGTGTAGAAGAGATGTTAGATTTCATCTCATTCTCCAAACTTCAAATTTCTTCAGTCTTTAAGCTCCAGGGCTCTATTTATAGAGTCATAGTTGCAATTAATATAGAAACCTGAACCATGTAATCAAACAACCTAGAGAGATTCTCAAGATTAGACGATGTTTGATAGATAGTTGAGTGTCTTAATAATGTCAGAATTGAGCGATCTTGAGCTCCTTGAATTCATCCTGCCTATATGCTCGATTCGACTATAAGCTTATCAGACTTAACAATTGTTTCACCTTCCAAATATGCTTAAAACTTTAAAAAGTTGTTTAATGGCTTGATCGGAGTTTGAGTTAGATCATATTGGATCAATTTTGGTACCATTGGTCCTGTCTCATCGAGCCGGTCAGTTTGACTGTAAGTTTGTTAAAATCAGAACTCTTGATGACTTTTAATCAAAATTTGAACATTTCTTACTCAAAAGACCCCCCCAATATCAATGTCAAGCCTCTAGATTCATGTCGAATGATGAAAATTTGTTGTTGACGTGTCAAATCTCAATAGATTATATATATACTAATTGTATCATTTGTATTACTAACATAAAAAAAACATCATAATACAATTTTATTTCATTGTTTAATATGTTTAATCATTCTTTTTTATATAATTTCAATAATGTTTTATTTGTACATTTTTTTTATTTACAACTGTTTATTTGTTTTATTGTTTTGTGTTACACAAAATTTCTTACACATTCTAATAGATTTAGATCAAAACATCATTTTTTTATCACTTTTTTGTTTGAACTTAGAATATGCGGTTTTTTTTATAATTTTTATTAGTGATTGTATTTGATGCAAACCATCTAAACTTTGATATTTTGTCTTAAATTATTCTTCGCAAGAAAATTTTCTACACAAATATATGAATTTATAGTTGATATATTATCAATCCATTTGTTCAAGAATGATCTCAATGAAATATTTAAATTGAAAAATTCATGAAATTAAACTCATTATTATATGAATCCTAATTTAATAAAATCGATCATCATAACCGGCCATTATTATTTTTCATTGCTATTTTGGTATTTTAGTTGAGTGCCTTAATAATGTCGGAATTGAGCGATCTTGGGCTCCTTGAATTCATCCTGCCTAGATGCTCAATTCGACTATAAGCTTATCAACTCAACATTTGTTTCACCTTCCAAATATGCTTAAAACTTTAAAAAGTTGTTTAATGGCTTGATCGGAGTTTGAGTTAGATCAGATTGGATCAATTTTGGTACCATTGGTCTTGTCTCATCGAGCCGGTCAGTTTGACTGTAAGTTTATTAAAATCAGAACTCTTGATGACTTTTAATCAAAATTTGAACATTTCTTACTTAAAAGATCACCCCAATATCCGTGTCAAGCCTCTAGATTCATGCCAAATAATGAAAATTTGTTGTTGACATGTCAACTCTCAATAGATTATATATATACTAATTGTATCATTTGTATTACTAACATAAAAAAAACATCATAATACAATTTTATTTCATTGTTTAATATGTTTAATCATTCTTTTTTATATAATTTCAATAATGTTTTATTTGTACATTTTTTTTATTTACAACTGTTTATTTGTTTTATTGTTTTGTGTTACACAAAATTTCTTACACATTCTAATAGATTTAGATCAAAACATCATTTTTTTTATCACTTTTTTGTTTGAACTTAGAATATGCGGTTTTTTTTAATAATTTTTATTAATGATTGTATTTGATGCGAACCATCTAAACTTTGATATTTTGTCTTAAATTATTCTTCGCAAGAAAATTTTCTACACAAATATATGAATTTATAGTTGATATATTATCAATCCATTTGTTCAAGAATGATCTCAATGAAATATTTAAATTGAAAAATTCATGAAATTAAACTCATTATTATATGAATCCTAATTTAATAAAATCGATCATCATAACCGGCCATTATTATTTTTCATTGCTATTTTGGTATTTTATTATGATCACAACAAATAAGCTAATTTTCCAAAGTTTGTAATCATGTCATTTCTAATTTAGGGAAAGTGCAATCTTTTGTAATATTATTTATATAGTTGATCATTTTGATTAGTGTGACTTTATTTTTTTTCTTGATTGTCATATCAAAGCTTTGATTTTTCTTATGAAACACTTCTTGTATATATATTCTTAATACAAAGCTAATATATTAAACTATTTCTCTACTATTGCAATAATTTACCATGCAATGGTTTGAAAGTACTTGTGAGGAATAGTTTTGGGATAGGGTCAACCTTATCTACAACTTCAAAAGGTTATTAGCATTGGCATCTAGATCTCATTCTTAGGGCTGTAAACGAGGCTGGGCTCGTGTTCGGCTGGTTCAAATTAGCTCGGGTTCGAAATCGGCTCGTGTTCGAAATTGGCTCGTGACCAGTGTGTTCGTGTTCGACTCGATTTAAATATTTGTGTTCGTATTCGGCTCGAAATTGACTCGTTAAAATAAAATTGAGAAAAATAGATGTAAAGTCTGAGATTCGAATCTGGATCAAATATATATCTCAATGAAATATTTAAATTGAAAAATTCATGAAATACGAGTGTTGCGTCTGGTGGCTAGAAAGCGAAGTCTCGCAAGTACTTTAGTGGTGCGAATGTTTGTTTCCCACAGACAATATTAAACTGATGCGTGCTAGAAAATTCACAGCAGTAAAGTAACACATTATTGTCTTAGTATTGCACGAAGATTCATAGCACATAAAGATAAAGGAAAACAACCAGTCGAGATACCATAAATTTTTATGTGAAAAACCTAGAAAGAGAAAAAACAACGGGGTTAGGTCCAATTGAGGAATTCCACTATAAATTGGTGATTACAATTACAACTCTTTATCCCATAGGCGGGAAATGGTTACACAGTCTCTTAATATCGATGCGCAGATGAACTTACCATAAAAATGGGCGATAATCGATGGTGATCGGTGGCAGCCGGCTAGTGGTGGTCGACGACGATCGATGACTAGTGATCGATAGATTGTTAGTGTAGAAGATGTTTGACTTGATCTCATTCTCCAAACTTCAATTTTCTTCAGTCTTTAAGCTCCAGGGCTCTATTTATAGAATCATAGTTGCAATTAATATAGAAACTTGGACCATGTAATCAGACAACCTGGAGAGATTCTAAAGATTAGACGATGTTTGATAGATAGTTGAGTGCCTTAATAATGTCGGAATTGAGCGATCTTGGGCTCCTTGAATTCATCCTGCCTAGATGCTCAATTCGACTATAAGCTTATCAACTCAACATACTTAACAATTGTTTCACCTTCCAAATATGCTTAAAACTTTAAAAAGTTGTTTAATGGCTTGATCGGAGTTTGAGTTAGATCAGATTGGATCAATTTTGGTACCATTGGTCTTGTCTCATCGAGCCGGTCAGTTTGACTGTAAGTTTGTTAAAATCAGAACTCTTGATGACTTTTAATCAAAATTTGAACATTTCTTACTCAAAAGATCACCCCAATATCCGTGTCAAGCCTCTAGATTCATGCCAAATGATGAAAATTTGTTGTTGACATGTCAACTCTCAATAGATTATATATATACTCATTGTATCATTTGTATTACTAACATAAAAAAAACATCATAATACAATTTTATTTCATTGTTTAATATGTTTAATCATTCTTTTTTTATATAATTTCAATAATGTTTTATTTGTACATTTTTTTTATTTACAACTGTTTATTTGTTTTATTGTTTTGTGTTACACAAAATTTCTTACACATTCTAATAGGTTTAGATCAAAACATCATTTTTTTATCACTTCTTTGTTTGAACTTAGAATATGCGGTTTTTTTTTATAATTTTTATTAATGATTGTATTTGATGCAAACCATCTAAACTTTGATATTTTGTCTTAAATTATTCTTCGCAAGAAAATTTTCTACACAAATATATGAATTTATAGTTGATATATTATCAATCCATTTGTTCAAGAATGATCTCAATGAAATATTTAAATTGAAAAATTCATGAAATTAAACTCATTATTATATGAATCCTAATTTAATAAAATCGATCATCATAACCGGCCATTATTATTTTTCATTGCTATTTTGGTATTTTACTATGATCACAACAAATAAGCTAATTTCCAAAGTTTGTAATCATGTCATTTCTAATTTAGGGAAAGTCCAATCTTTTGTAATATTATTTATATAGTTGATCATTTTGATTAGTGTGACTTCATTTTTTTTCTTGATTGTCATATCAAAGCTCTGATTTTTCTTATGAAACACTTCTTGTATATGTATGTATTTATTCTTAATACAAAGCTAAAATGCAATGATTTGACAGTACTTGTGAGGAATACTTTTGGGATAGTGTCAACCTTGTCTACAACTTCAAAAGGGTATTAACATTGGCATCTAGATCTCATTCTTAATCCTAAGCATGATTTTTGTTAAGAGATCCACGAACAACGAGCCAAATTGACAGCCCTACTCATCCTTAATCCTAAGCATGATTTTTGTTAAAAGATTTTAAGAGATCTCTACCTCCCATGTTACATCATTGCTATGTCAAAGTAGTTTTTAACTAGGGAAAGCATTGATAGTAGCTTAAAAAAGGCATTCATGTAAACATCTAAGACATAGTTATAATTAGACAAATCCTTTTAACCATGGCATTCAATATACTCAAAATAATTCTCACAAGAATTTCAAAGCTTGGTGCATATATGAGAAATTTTATAAGAAAGTTTGTAAGACAATTTTAAACTTTACATACTGTCTTTGTTGGACTTCTGCTCTCTGGATAAGTAGGCGTGATACTAAATTTTAAAGAGACAGAAGGCGAAATTAAAAAAAAATCAATTAAAATTTATTAAAATTAAAATTTATTTTTTAAAAAATAAATAAATGTAATAAAAATAAAAAAATTTATTACAAAGAATAACTTATAATGTAAAAGTATATATATCTTTTTAATATAGATGTTATGAGTAGACCTTTTGAATTGTGTTCGACATTTTCTTTATTGCATCAAAATTATCTATCATTGATTTAATATCAAAGTTTATTATAATATTCATTTCTATGCTATCACCGACTCCTCTCTTGACACGTTTGAGTACCGCCAAAGCTTCGACGAATATTGATGTTCTTAACCCAACCATTAAAGAATTTCTCGTTGATTGCTTCGTTCAGTTTGATGATGTGGAATGACACTCTCTGGTTTGGCATGAACACAATGCCCTCGGATTATCATTTGTCTGATTATATTTTATCGATGACATTAAAAAAATGGATGGATATATTCAGTGCTCACTCGATTGATGTTCAGGCAACTTGAGAGCTTCTGTTTACTCATCCTGAAACCAAGATCTATCTTGTCGAGACTTGTTTACCTAAAGCTGAATCACCTCATCCAAACTCTCTCATTTTAGAGAACTTTTCTCTTTTGCGAGAGTCATTTGGAACTCTCCGCTTCTTGCAATTTGCTGCTTAATCAATTAGATATGGCTAGCAAGAAATGAGAAGATATCTAAAAGGAATTTTACTAGAAGCTCCTCTATAATTTTAAATATCTGTCAGGCTGTTAAAGGAAAGTTAAGCAAGAATACTAATGAATTGCTGAACTTAATTTGATCATCCTCACAGCATTTTCGCTTTGTTGTGCTGGATTTTATTTCCTCTAGCTCTATGGATGGAGCGTTATTCACGTACGGAGTATGCACAGAGTTCTGCGTGTGTACTCCCCCAGATAATCTTCCAATAACTTAGTTATTGGGGTTATTGGGGGTTATTGAGAGGTTATTGGTGTATAACCTCTCATTAACCCCCCAATAATCTATCAATACATTTTGCAGCTCCGCGCTCATACTTTTCGTTGTTATTCAGAAATTTAGTCATGTTATATGGGGTATTGACCCCCTAACACCAAAATAACCCTCCAATACTTCCCGAATAACCTCCATACGCACATAATTCTAAGTGCGTACGTAAATATTTTTCCCATGGATGGGTTCCCTTTTTTTTCTTCCATTTTTTGGTCAAACAAAGATGAGCTCTACCTGTTGTTTCATGCTGCCTGTGACGACTGTGAGGAGCTCCACCAGCTATTTTGATCATCCTCGCTGCCTTTTTAATCCTATGTTTTGCTGGGCTCTCTCTTCTCTGGCTCAATGGATTGATTCTATTTTTGGTCAGACTGTCATATCATGAGCACTACCTGCTGCTTTCTACTCCTCTGCAGGAAAATTTACCATCTGGAAAGTCCTTTTTAAGAGAATCGTAGATCTTCACCTGGAGGGACTACTGTCAATTATGTGTAGGGCTGTGAATTTTGCTCGAAGATTGTTAATTACTCGAAACTTGATTCAAATTTTGGCTCATATCAAGATAAACGAGTTGAGCAATGAGTCAAAACTTCGAATCATTTTTTTTTTTTTTTGAAACGATTTCAAGCCATATATGGATGGGCTCAAATTGACTCAAGATTAGCCATGAGTCACGAGCCAGTTTCAAGCTGGAACACATCCAAATAACTCAATTTGAGTCGGTCAGTTTCAATTTTGAACCTAATCGAGTAGATTCCGAGCTAAAACTGATCCAAATAATTCAATTTGAGCCAGGTCGTTTCAATTTTGAGCGAGATCGGGCTCTACTCAATTTTGAGTCGCACTAAATCTATTCAAGCCTATCCCAACTGGGCTCAAAATCAAATAGTTAACCGCCCTGTTTATGAAATTTCTCCATTTGTTGACATCTCGTTGAGTCTGAAATTTCAAAGTTCCTACCAGCTTTTGAGATGTTTTTGTACTCTTTGCAATCACTTCCCTTTTCTATACCTCCGACAGAAGCTTGCAAAGTTAAGCTAAAATAGTTCAAAAACTGCCTATAATAAATTTGAAATTTCTAATTGCATAGCATGAACGAATAAGGAAAAAAAAAGAAACTTCGGTTATAAATGATTGGAAAAATGGTGATGGAGATCAGCAAGCTAAAATTGGGCAAGAACTGGATCTACTCGTCAAGAAAAAATCTCACTTTTTCATGAATTAAACTTACAAAATAAAGCAATTATGATCCATATAATGTAAAACTCACATACTATTTCACATTATCTCTCCCTTCCACTTGCCACTAACCAGTTTTATGATGAAAATTTAATTCTTCTCATCGGGAAGATCTTTCTTTGGAACTTTTGAGTCCACCTGCTTCTGCACGGTTCCTTCAGCAGACCTGAGAAAATGCATTTTTAGCGCAAACATTCTAATATTTGTCTAGTTGAGTATCACCTATGGATATGGAGAATAAATATGTACTCTACTGTTCAATATGAAAAATACAAAAAACATGAAAAGCAACCTCAGCAGGCACTTAGATTAGCTTGCTTCACTGCAAGTGTTCAAATAGAAGTGAGTTTCACTTTTGAGAGAGATAATTACATCCGGACTCCGAACGCAAATTTGCATAGTTTTGCATATATATATATATATATATATATATATATATCCTATGAAGCTAGATCTACCTATCTTCAATCTAACCAGGCCTTTTTGTAGCCAAAATACTTGTGGAAATTAATATTACTTTACCTGATATTATTGAAGTCTGGCTAGACACAACTCATAATGGATATTGACAACAAATTGTCATGAAACATGACCCTTTTTATTATACCCACTGTAAGATATTTGGGCATATCCTTGATAAATGTCACAGGCTCTATCATAATTTGAAACCTAAAGCTCAAGTGAATAAGGATAGGTCTAACCCCACTGTTCTGGACACATCTGCTCCACCTGTGGAGGAAATTACCACAAGACAGGAATTGATATCTGATTTAATTGCCCCTGTGGACCCCCACCCTGACAATACCGTTTATGTTTCTGCGATTAATGTGATGTTGGATGACTCGGCAGGGCAACCTACACCTTCAAACCTTATTGAAAACAATACTGAAGGATCCTTACCTACAAAGGATGTATTCAGATCGATAATCAAGAGAGCCTTGCAACTCCTCATATTAAGGAAGTATCCGGTGCAGAGGCGACAACTCATATTTCACACACACTAGAACCTATTGTGGTTACAACAGTTGGCAATCTTTCTACTACGATTCTACCACCTAATCCGAACGAGCAAGAAATGAGTCAACCTTCGGATGAGGAATGACAGGTTTACACATCCAGGAAGAAAAAGAAGAACGAAGATCTACTTGAGCACAAGAATCTAATAGATGATACTTTTGTTGCTTCAGGTAATCGTACGCACCTCACCAATTTGTTAGCTGACTCCCTTTTGAGAACTAGAGGCAGAGGCAAGACTAAATTGGGTCGTTCCTAGGTTTTGATTTTTTTTATCTTATATGTATCCTTTCTTTTTTTGGGATTTTTGTGTTGGTGTACCGTGTGGTTTGAATGTCTTCTTTTGGGCTCATTCATTCAACCTATCTGTATCATTTCCGAGAGTTCATTCAACGCCATGCAGGTAAGAAATGATACTTCAAATATAAGATCTTACTTGAAAACAGATATGCACACACTTAATTGCTATCATAGATCATGATCCCTTGGCCGCCTATTCTAGGGCTAGGGTGGAGTTTGGTCAGCATTTGGTTAGAAGTACATTTTGATGCACAGTTTATGACCCTATAGGTTTATTTATGACAACTAATTGTCACACATTAAATTCAACTATTTTTCTACAAATACTAAAAAATAATAATTATTTAGTATGTCTAAATAAAAAAAAATATTAGCATTAAGCTTATATATATATAT